CTGGCGCGTAAGTGATGTTGAGCCCCAGGAACTGTGTGACTTTGTGGTTGTTGGTGATGTCAACGCGTTGCGCCGGGTTCTGCTCGAACTGGTTGAGTAGCACATTGCTGGTGCCTGTGTACAGCAGGTCATCGACGTAGACTGTCAGTAGGATGTAGACGTCGTTGAAATGGAGGCGGTACATTCTCGGGTCGTGCAGTAGCTGCTTGAAGCCGACCTCAAGGAGAATTTTGTGCAGATGCTGCTACCAGAGTCGCGACGCCTACTAAATCTCGTGAAGGGGTTTGGTTTTTTTTTTTTTTGGTTTCAGCTGACAAACCCTTGGGTCTCCTTCCCCGCATGTGTGCAGGTGTTTCACGAAGATGGTCGCATCGCCCAGCGCGTATAAAAATGTGTTCTTCACGTTGATCTGCCGCAGTGTGAGGTGCTTAGTGACAGGGATAGTGAGTAGAATTCGCATAGATGTGTGTCGGCTTACGAGGGCAAAGGTCTGGTCGAAGTCAATCCCGTGGCATTGGTCATACCCGCGTACAACCCACCTTGCTTGAAGCGCTCGATAGTGCCGTCGGCGATAGTCTTGAGACGTAACGCCCATTTTCCAGATAGCACCCTCCTTCCATTCACTGCTGCATGATCGACGAGAACCTACGTGTCGTATGACTCTAGTTCTTTCAGCTCCACATCCACGGTTGCACGCCACTCCTTGACGTGCGGACCCGTGACGGCCTGCCGTGGATTCTTAGGCTCGATGATTCGCGGGGTGGTGGATGTGGTGGTGTGGAGATCGAAGTAGTTGTAGGCCTGTGATATTTTCCGCACCGTGCGCTTCCTGAGTGGTTACCTCAACCACATCATCATCGCCGCTTTCGTGTGCAGGCGGAGGGCTCCTTGGAGGGGCCTGGCGCTGAGAGGGACCTGACGCAGGATGGTCGACATCGTCATCGTCGTCGTCGTCGCGCGGTCGAGGAGGTCGGGATGATCGTCGGTGGGGTTGCGGTCGAGAGTCGCTGCTGCTGCCTCATCTCCTGGAGAGGCGAAGCTCCCGCCACTGTTGGCGTAAGCTTGAGTTGCGCCAGCTCGCTGATCCGCGAGCCAGTTGTGAAGGGTGAGACGTTTGTAGAAGAGAATGTCTTGAGCAGGTACGATTTTGTTGGTGTCAATGTCAAGGGTCAGCCACCCTTTGTACTCATAGCTGATCCCCAAGTGAATCCCCTAGCACGTGCAGTTGGTAAACTTGCCGATATTAGCAGATGTTGGTCTATATTGGACCATGCAACCCCAGACCCTTAGCATGGAGGTGTTCCCCTTGTCCCGGTCCACTTCATGTGAGGTGAGATATATCCTCAGTTGGCGGTGGTGGACAGGAGGTTGTGAAGTCTCATGGCGTGGTGAATGGCGTAAGGCCAATACTTGAGGGGGAGGCCGGATTGCTTCAAAAGCGCGTGGACTCTCCATGAGGAAACTCTGCAGCTCGTTGCTGCGGAACTCCTTTGTGCCATCTGTCTGCCATATTTTCAGCTTCTTTCTTGGTTCTCGCTACGCATGAGCCAGCCAGACCCGAAAAACATCAGGTGCCTTGAAGCAAACGTCGACATTGGCAACCCAGACGTAGCCCGAGTTGGCATCCACAAAGGTGAGTATGTAGCTCTCGTCATTGACCCCGCCGTACCCGATGACAATGAAGTCGCTGTACACCTTCTGTAATTTCTTGTAGCGGTTGGTGCTTGGTTCAAGCAATGGGTAGGCGTGATGTGAGAGGGCACCAGTGGGCAGACAGTGCAAATCTGCGGCTGTAAGTTTCTCCGTGGTTCGGTGCTGTCGGGGCGTAGCAGTGCGCAAGGCAAGATCCTTTGGCGGTAAGGTGGTTGTTGAAGGTCTGGCGCGAGGGGTGGACGAAACGTTGGTGCCAAAGATGATCGTCCGCTCGAATTCTGGAAGTGCGCAGGTATCGTGCATGATGCGCGCTCCTCTGGTTCTGTCTCATGGGGAATGCAGACCATGGGTCCTCCTTCTCCTCTCCTTCTCCCTGCTGTTGACAGGTAGAGTGCAAGAAAGTTGCGGTCAGGGATGATGAGCAGTGGAGTGGTGGTTCCTTCGATGAACTTGGCGAATGGGTCTGGGCGTGAGAGGGGTCCTTAGTCGTCGCGCGAGGAAGTTGGGGGTTCATTGCCTCGGTCGAGCCCGGTCCAATACGAGTGCCAGACATGAGGTGAGCGGGGAGGTGATGGTAGGTTGCGCGGAGGTCGTCCGAGAGGAATTTAGTCCTTGGCGGGGTCTGCCCAGCTTCTATTATTCTCACTGCCTCCTCCAGTTCTTCTCGGGTGAGTTCGCCTTCAGTAGTTCCCTAGCCTCCTCCGCCGGTGCCCCAGGCACCACTTGATGATGTTCATGTGCCAACCATGTCGCCTATGTTGCCTCCTCCCCATCCCCACCCTCCGTCGGTTAGGACGGAGCATGCCGATTCGAGGTTCCATCCAGCCGCGATCCGCTTGTTGATCAAATTTTCTCTCTCTGCTTGCTTGATTTTCTCCTCTTCTTCCTTGATGCTAAGATCCTCTGGTGCGTCAGGATCCTTCCACTCCTTGTTTTCTTGGTAATGAACTTCGCGGGTGTAGGGAGTGGCTGACTCTTCTCATCATACGCTCCTTGTGACTCTCCTTCCAGGACCCAGTGAAGGCGCTCAGTTGCGGGACTGGGACGTGGTTATGGTGGTACTCGCAGTTCTCGCTCTTTGGTGCCGAAGATGCGGTAGGAGACAGTTACAAGTTCTGTCTTTTTCATGCCTTCTTCTAGCAGTGCCGCGCTTTCCGCTTCCTCGATTGCCGCTAGCTTTGGTGCTGCTTGCTGTGGGCGTGAATTAGCTGGTGGAGAGTCCGTCACGTCCAGGTGAGTGGAAGTTTGTTTCGCGCAGGTGAGGGCTTCGCCTGATCCACGGCCAACCGTCTGGTGTTTCCACGAATTTGCGGACCTATACGGGAACTGCAGCGGGACGAGATTCATGAGCTCGTTGGAGGTAGCTTTGCAGCCGGGAAGGTCAAAATTGAGTACGTAGATCCTGTTGATGGAACGTGCTCGCCCAAGGTGTTTTCGAACTTCGATGGGTTTGTCGGCGGGGGGGGGGGGGGAGTTCGAGGTCCCGTGTGAGAGGATCAGTGGTGAATGTGACTCAACACTCAAAGAGTTGTCATGCGGATAGTAGGTTGAAGCGTATGTCCGGCACGTAGAGCACATCATTGAAGGTGATGTGCGTGTTGAGGTCCCTTGCATGTAGCAGGGCGATGCCTTGTGCGCTTGATCGCAACTGATTGTTGTTGGCGACAGTGACATAGGTAACAGTGAGAGTGGCGGTCGCATTGTAGCGGATCGATCCCACCATATGTTGCCCGTAGCAGCTGTCCAAGTACTAGTTGTTGTGATTGTCATTGTTGCCGCGTAGGAGCAACGCGAGTTGCGGCGTGGCATCTCCTTTGCAGTTCCTCCTTCAAGGAGGCCAGTGCACGTCGGTCGGGAGTGGCATGAACGGGGTCGAGCTACGGCGGACGAAGAGCGACGGGTCCGCATATGAAGGAAAGAAGTCAAGCGCTGCAAG